GGATGCAGGGAAATGAGCCATGGGAAGGAGGTTGCATTCTGTATACTTGTGAGCTGCTGTCTAGTTCCTTTAAGTTTCTTTCAATTAAAAGATTTTGAAGTGAAACATTTGGACTGATGTTTTGCCAGCAGTGGGAAATGGTTGTGGAGGTGGATCCTGAAACTTAGAACTATGGTTATTTGTCAACCTGCTAGTAAATAGGGTAGAGGTTTATGCTGGGGCACATTCTGTCTGTGTGTTTGTGTGGTTGAGTGTGTCTGTCTAGCTCTTGGTCTGTGTTCCTCACTCGCTTTTTCTCTTTGTGCCTCATGCAGGCCCTGCTATGAATTTTCTCTGACCCCTTGGGGCCATTCCCACATGAAGCTTTGATGTGTGTGCCCAGACCTTGATTGACAAGGAAGTTTTGGTGGCGGCAGCAGGGAAACGAAGAGAAAAGGGCAGGGCTTTGAACTAAAGGGCTTTGAGCTCTGAGATGCTGTGCTTACTTATCTCCTTCAGAATGTTAATTATTTACCAAGATAATTGGTTGGGAGGGGGAAAAAAGAGAGGGGAGGTTATTAAAAAATTCCAACACTAACACGCTACAAAACCCTCATTTTCCAACTTGCAGCTGGCATGAAAAGGATGTTGTGTGTAAAAGGGCTTGAATGTATGTGTGTTGGGGGGGGCCCTTTTTAAGGCACCCATTTCCTAAATAGAGGGATCCCTTCAGACGAATGCAGCGGAAACATCAAAGCTCTTGCAAGAGTTTTCTCTGGGGTTTCTAAACCGTGTCTGGTACTTTTTAATTAAAAAAGTTTATGGAGAGCTGTCTTTGTGACTGGAACAGGCAACCTTAGTCCCTCTTGATTGAGGAATGAAATGTTAAAAGACCCAATAAATAATGATTTCTGCTACATTGTCAGTTCAAGGATGTGAAGATGCCTGGCCACTTACGCGGGAGCTGAGACTTGGAGTAGACTGATGAATGTCTCCTGCTTCAGTCTAACATGATGTAGGTCATACTATATGAAAGTCTCCTACAGCCTTTGGATTAATGTAAAAAAAAATGGTAGTAACGCATACTCATTTGAAGTTTGTAGTTGGGAAGATAGGTGAAGCTGTTTCATTTTGCCTCCAGTTAATACAGTTTTATTAGTCTCTGTATTAGGTAGCAATCCACAGACTCCCCGGTGAAGATCAGGGTTCCTTTGAGTGCTGGTAATTGCTGTGCTGGATCAGGTCCAAGGACCGTCATTCCAGTATCCTGACTGTGCTGATGGTGGCAACAGAGGTTCGAGAAAATTCAAGAGCAGGCAGCCTGCCCTGCACGGTTCCTAAGTACACATTAATGATATCAAGAGGGGCAGTTTCTTACTTTTATCTATTCATTTATTTATTGGATCAAGGTGAGAAATCTAGTGTTACTGTTTTGCCAGGGTAAATGTAGACCATCGTCCAATATTTTTTGTACAGTTTCTGGCTATGACAGTACTTACCTCTTCTACACTGTGGTGATTTGGTTTCTTTATCTGTCTCTTAGTATAAGGCCCTCTGAAAGCTTAAAATCATTGTTTCAGCTAGTTTTTTCTTTATGTAGTATTATACTGATGTGTTAATTCTGGTAGTAAGTATGATATTTTTCTTTCAGAATCCTTACTGGTGCAGCTGGTTAGACCATATCGTATTAATCTTCTGCATATCACCTTCAAACCCTTTTAAAAATACGGGCCTGTGCTTGCAGCAGTGTCTTTTAGCGCAAAGCTTAATAATTTTAAATCTGTTACTCTGCAGTCCCTCGAGAACATGTGGATGTATCATCTGAACATGGTGATATAGTGCACGTATATTAATGCATCACTTAGTTCCAGCACCAGTCTTTCTACTGCTTCAGTTTCTTTGAGGGTGCGGTGTCATACTATAATCACTGTAAGTGGCAGAGCAAGGTTCATAGGTAGATACCCTCCTCGCTTACCTGCAATTGCTTTTGTGATTCCTCGGTTGAATCAGTGGGACCACGAATCCAGTTCTACAGTTTCTGTGGTGCCCGGAGAAGGACCAAAAGATAACTCAGGGACCGATGCATCTGACATGGGGAGAGGCAGAGAGAGTTGGGGTTGTTAAGCCTCGAAAAGAGAAGGCTCTGGGGAGATCTTGTCAATGTGTATAATAAACGTAATGGGAAACCAGGGATGATGAGCCAGACTTTTCTCAGTGGTGCCCAGTAAAAGGACATGAGGAAATGGACGTGAATAACAGGAAATTCCATTGAAATAAAAGGGGGAAAAAAACCCACCAAAACCCAAACCCACTGAAAGGGTGGTCTGACACTGGAACAGGTTGTGGAGTCTCCATCAGATTTCAGAACGCAGCTGGACATCCCGGTCTTGAGAAACCTGCTCTAGCTGACCCTGCTCAGAGCAGGGGCGTTTGGACTAGGAGTCCTCAGATGCTCTTCCCAACCTCAACTGTTCAGTGATTTTCTGGTGGCAATGATGGCTCAGGGTATTCCTGCCTCTGTAGCTGCTCAGTTTTACCCACATTGTAGTTTGTTACAGATCAAGAATAAAGTTAATCTTCTCCAAGTCTCCCTGATGACGAAACTGATCCAAAGAAGTCATTGAAATTCTCTTCTTTAATTGGATTCCTCAATCTTAATAATTGGTGTCCCAAACAATTATTTTAGGGACTTCCTTTATCTGAACTTCTTATTATAACTTTTTGTTGTTTTAATCCTTGAATTTTATTTTAACTCTCCAAATTTCCTTCCCTATTTTCTACACCCATTCTGCTGCTTCATTCCTTATTATTAACCTCGGAAATATTAGCTACCAAAGTTGAAAGATGTTTGTCATTTTTTAATTATGGGTAAATGATAACATTTGCTAGTTTGCTCTAATGCTTGGTTTTTTTTTTTTTTTTTTCTATTTGGGGCTGCACAGCATTTCTAAGACTCAATTTTTCCGAGTAATGTTTACTCAATAGCTAAGGATTTTACTTCCATCTCCTTTGACTTCCAGGTCTTTAATCAACACACTTAATTTTGTTAACTCTCTCTTTCTAAAATATGGTGTTTGCGTTAATTGTTCATACGTTTTCATTTTTTATGGTGTTGAATTGTATTGTATTGTATTGTAATCACTGTTTCTTATTGGTTTGAATCTGATCCTATCTATCACTTAGGGCTAGTTGAAAGTAATTTCTTTTTTTTATGTTTATAATTATTTGTTCAGTAGGTCATCATTTGAGCTACCGACAAATTACTTGTCCACAGTGTAATGCCATTTAATGTGTTGGTATGTTGTATGAGTTTGTATTGAATTTGATTCAGTATTTATTTATGCAGACGTAGCTGAATAAAGTTATTTAGCCATGACATAAGAGACTGAGTGTAAAGCAATGAAAGGAGGAGAAGATGATGAGAATGGGCATTGTCAACATAAGTTGTCAGGAGCTTTGTCATTTTGATTTGTTGCTATTTAAAATTAGAGAAAAACAAGTGAACAAGCCAGATACTGTCTGGTGCATTACATTTGAGTAACTTGAGAGATACCGGTTGCCATCTCATTCTTCCTGTGTGACGGGTATATACCTTAAAATGGGGGAAGCTGAAGTATAAAGCAGTGTGGTAAATTTACAAACAGGTTAAATTAGGAACCAGGCCTGCTGACTAGAACTGTGGACATTTCCACACATTCCCCCCCCCCTTTTTTTTTTTTCTTTTTTTCCCTTCGGAGAGCCTCTCCATGGAGCAGTCGTTAATGGTAGAGTGGCAGAAGCTGGCTCTGGCTTTATTGCACTTCGTGGTTGCAGAAGGAAGAGTTTGTTCTCATAGATTATGCGCTAATGGGAGCTCTGTTTAATGTGGTTTTGTGTATGCATTTACCAGAAATTGCTTGTTCTTGTGCAGCACTGAAGGCGTAGGCGAAAAGATAAGATTCAAGGTAATCTGGTGCATACCTTTCTGGGGCCATTCTCAGTAAAAGCGGCGATGTCTCCCACCTTTCCACTGATGTGGTCAGCCAGGGCACTGTGGCACTATCCTTTTATCACAGGGACAGAACTTACGAGATCACAGACTCAATGAATTTACATACTTTAACTTACTTTCACTTGATTCAGTGCTTCATGACCTGTATGTGGGGTTTTTTTAAGGTGTGCCACACAGTGTAATTAAAGCACACACTAAATGAATTATGATTTGGCTGCCTGACATCTCAAATAATAGTCAGAAAAGAATTGTTGAAAAACATAAATCACTTGCACAGGTGTTTAGCTGGAATTAGTTCTGGCCACGCTGTTCATTATTTTTATCTGGTTTGGAGGTAGATATATAAATAAAAAATAATCATTAATAACATTTGCAGATGAAGTAAAGATCATCCGACTGATAACTGTAGGACTGCCTTTTTCATGTTTGCATTTATTTAGGTCACATAATGAGCTAAATAGATGAAAAAATGTTTGATTATGGCAATTATTCTGACAAGTAGGAACTTGGAATTCAGGTGGGATTTATAAAAGGATATACTGCGTCCTGGAAAGCTGTTGAAACTAGACAAATTCCAACCAGAGACAGGGTATAAATGTAATAGAATAATCTAGCAGAGATTTCTGAGGGCTTTTTCTGAGGATTTCCCTTCTCTTACTATCAGCCACCCAGGTCTCGGAAGATTCTTGATCACGTCCATGTTGTCTACTCAACAGTGGAGAACGTGGGTAAAATAAAATGGCCTGAGATACGGGACAGGGGAGAATAAATGGCAGGTCATCAGCGCAATGAGCATTTGCCGTACAGGTCTCATCATCCGTGTGTAGTAGAACAGATCTTAGAATTTTGTGTCATGTCTTACCCTGAGTGCCCTATGCTCTACACAAGTTTAGCTTTCTCTGAATTATAGATGGTTCAGTGACCTCAGCTTAAACTCTGAATTTGTCCGTAGCTGTCTAACCTGTCACTAGTGTTCACAGTGAACTGTGAAAGCATCTGCAATTGGTGATCTTTCCCCCTTTTGCTGCAGGCTAAACTCTTTCCAACTGCTGTCATTCATTTTGGATCTGAGGAGAGCAGGGGTGAGTGAATTTCCTCTCTTCTTCAGCTGACTGTATAGCTCTTATAGTAGATCCAGAATTACATCCTTATGTTCAGAGTTCTTCCAACAAAAGACAGTGGAGTCCTCAGGAATGCTGGTAAGTGTTCCATACCAAATGGCTGAAGCTCTTCAGAGCTAGCTTGGTCAGTTAGCTTGAGCACAAATGTAAACAGAGCACCTTTCTTAGGAGATTTGTCAGGCTCTGGAGTAGGTATTGTCTTCTATGGGGACAAGAATGATAGAAGAATGACTCTGTAGAAGGAAATTCCATTGTTCAAAATGTTAACTAGACAAATGACTATGAAACACTCACAGACCTCCTGTTGTAGTGGACTGGCTGGAGATGGGAGAACAGGTCTGAAATATTGATTCTTTGACACTTCTGGTTTATGCTTAGAATCTCTGTTTCTCCCAAAGATTAAAGCATGCTCTGGCTTCTCAGAAAAGTTTCTGAGATGCAGCGAGCACTGAAAGAAAATGTCAAGATCTTGAGGTTTGAACGATGAAATAGGGCGCCTTGAGTTGTGAAAGCAACTGTCAGAGCTTTAAGAGTGTCCTGTGTCAGTTGGGGGAGGGTGATTTAGTATAGTACACAGCAGGTATTTGCTGAGCTGAGAGCTGTGTGATCCTGTGGTGATTGATGTCTCTGTTACCAAACAAGTGTTTGGGTTTCATTTTTAAACAGATTGTTACCTGAAGTCAGACCTGCTGAGCTCTGCAGTTTCCCCTTCCGCAGCTGATTTATTCGTAGCCAGGTATGTTGGGAGTGAATAGAGTTGCAAATGGGTGTGTATTTCAGGGATGGGAAGCATGAAACAAGCCATCTTGCTACAAAGAAATGTGTTCTGGAGATGCTGGGACTTAGTTTTCTTCTGAAAGAGTCATACTGTCATACTTCATAGCTTTGTGAGTCCTTCTTTGCAAAGTAGGATTTCAGTGACTAAATCAAGTAAATCCTAGGGCTTTTATCATGAAAAAGAAGAGCCTTTTCAATCTGACTTTAAAAGTTTAAAGGAGGTGGGTACAAGGGGCTATTATGAAAAAATGAAGCTTAATTCTATTTGCTTCTTTTCTTCCTCAGATGTTTGTCCAAATCATTAGTTCCTTCTGCTTCATCATCTTTAGAATCAATAGTTCCATCCCTGTCTGAACCAGAAGTGGGAGGTGACAAAAAGACCGATGAGCAGCCAGAACCAGCCAGTGTGCATGAAGCTCCGCAGGTGTTGAGAAGGGCCCCTGGGAAAATACCCAAATGGCTGAAGCTGCCAGGTATCATGAAATCGGAGGAGAGCTCTTCTCATTCTGAACTCCCCAGAAAGGCAGGGGCTTCTCTGTGCCAAACATGTTGCATGTTGACAGTATTCTTGAAGGTGTCAACATAAAGCTTGCAGGACATTTGGTTCAGTGCTTGTCAATCATGATCAGTTTGTGACTGACTTCTCCAGTGAAGGCTGAGGTTTATCTGAATGCAGGCTCTGGGCAGTGTTGAGTCTGATGTCTAATCCATGTGCTTGCAGCGCTCTTAACTATGTTCTGGGCTTAATGTGTTGAGTTCTTAACTATGCTAGTGTAGTTCAAATACTAATAGGAATGATATTTTACATACCAAAGGCCCATGTCATCTGTTAAACCTGTCGTTATTTTTCCTTTGCTGGTATAGTCTGGTTTAGTACTTTCCATTCTCTTTTTTTTTTTTTTTTTTTTTTTTTTTTTGTGAGTTGGTCTTTCTGGTTTTAATCTTAACTGAAAACAGTAGTGGTTTTCCATAGTTAAGATTGCAACCAAGTTTCCATTACAAATTTTTTCTTGGTTTATCCTGATCAGAAAACTGCAACCTTGTTTTTAGTCTCAGAACCAATAGCTTATGTGTGGCTTTATATCAGGATTTATACAAAATATGGTAGGTTGGTTGAGAAGGGCCCCTGGGAAGGGGTTAGATACTGGGGTACTGGTTCTAGGCTGGTACTGGGGTACTGATGCAGATCACGTGGGAAGCAGTATCTTCATGCTGGAAGCATTCCATTTAAGAGTAGGACTTTCTTTCCTAAGTAAAGATTATCTGGATAAAGTATGAAATAACATCTCACCTACTTGTGCAGGTTACCCATTAACAGCTGGTATGAAAAGTTAATAACATGCTCTAACATGCATGTTAATAACAAGTAGGATGAAGTTCCCTGCTCTGAAAGTTATGGTGTATTCACCTTTCCATCTCCCTAAGAAGTGCTCCTACATGCTGCCCAACTGTTCCCTGAGCACAGCAGTGTATAGAACCCTCAGCAACAAGATCATGTTAGTGAGAAATGATACAGTGCAAATTACATGATTAAATGTTTTAATGCTCTTACGTTTATTTTGTAGGTGGGAAGAGATGAAACATTCTGGGCTGCTGGATCAGTGAGCAGTCAGCTGTGCCTCTTTCCTGATGAACTTATTCAGAATGTGTAAGAAGTTGTTGGTGGCCCTGGAGAGATCTAATCTGTATGAACATTAGTTATAAATAGAAAATTGCTATTTCAGATGCTAGCTTCACCTTTTGGAGGAGTGGAAGGCCTGTTTGTGGTCTTTGTTGACTACAGAAGCAAGGTTAGAGGGTAAATTTAAGCTTTCTTGCATGCAAATAATACGAATAGAGAATTAATGGGGAAATAATTCCTATGTACTTTCTGTGAAGGACTTTGTTTCCATCCGTATTTTTAAATTCATATCTTCCCAGTTCTACCTTCAGAGAGAACTTGAGTCTAGCTGCCTGAGTTCTAGCATCAAGATACAATCTGATTCAGTTTCACCTATAGTGAAGTGCTGCCTAGAACAAAACCTCTCTGCTTCTTGCTGGCTGGGGTTAGTGCTGCTGATAATTCTGGGCATAGATGGCTGGAAAGTGGGTGCAGAGGAACCGTTTAGGTCACTTAAAACAGTTTAAACAGGCTTTTCCTGTGAACCTCTTGATCTGCTGCACTTGTATGGTTTTCTGTTGCCAGAATCTTGTTAACAAAGAACACTGGTATCTGGTAATGGAATGCATGTGGAGTTTGTTTCTGCCCCAAGCTCTGTGTTTTATTTTCACTACATATAATTAACGTCAGCAATTACAGTTACAGTGAGGAAAAAACATCCAGTAAGAGGGTCTCTTCACGTGACCTTTGATCTATGGACTTCGTGGCCCGAGCGCTTCCACAGCAGAGTAGCTGTGCTCTGCAGTGCAGTTAGTGTGCAGAGGGAAGCACTAGTCCGGATCCTCCTAGACCCTCCTGCCGACGTTGTACTGGGATGGGCATTGTTGGTTGGAATTGCGCTTATACTGGAGGTGAACTCTATAGTGCCACAGTAGCCATGGTGTGTATTTTACTTGAAGTCTTCTCCATGGATCAGTGATTCATGTTGGACAGCTGGGGTTCCCTGTTACGGTAATAACATGTTTTCCATTTTCCCTGTATAGACAATTGTTCCCTGAACTACATGTGCATCTGCACAATTTGTAGTTGTAATAAAGCAGAGCGGCCATAGGAGGCCTTTTTGTCGGTCTCTTTGATAATATGTTTCTTCCCCCAGTACTCAGTTTCTCTGTCAGTTCACAGGAACCTGCTCTCTTTTCAATGGGCCTGTCATGCCTCATTCCCTTCCTCCAATTTTTTTTCAACAAAGCAAAATGGAGCTTTGTACCATCTGAATGAACTTCAAAGTGGCTAGAAAGGGCACCCAGGGTTCCTGGCACTTGTCGTTGTCTCCCAGCCTGGCCAATGTTTCCCTTCAGGTCTAATTACTTCCAAATGCTCCCAGATGCTTTGAAGAAACTCAGAGGGAGGGGGAGGCATGAAAGAAAGGTGGAAGAGGAACAGGGAGACTCAAAGTGGAGGGACCAGAATGCTTTAGCAAAGATGTTGATTGATTTCTTATATGACACCCAAACATAAACAGGGAATGTGTGCGGCCGCTGGCAGTGGGGAATGCAAAAGCACAATGTACAGCTGCTGCTCTAAATCCTTACTGTGGAAAGCAAGTCCTTCTTGCACTTGACAGGCTGTAAAAGACATACTACCGGGGGGGGGGGGAGTTAAAATAATGTTTGAAGTTTATTACTTTAGTGGATTAAGTGTCGTCTGAGCTTATGCTCAATAGGACTATCTGTATCTTGGTTCAGGTGCTATGTCAGGCTTACTCATTTCACAGAGGCCAGAGGTACACTGTAGCTAGAGCTGCTTTGCTGAATTTATGCAGGATATATCAGGGGCCAACTAATAGCCATAGCTAATGATAGGTGATGATATACTTGTGCTGGAGTTTTTGATTCACAGGGTTAGAATAAACAGAAGCAGTCTGGTTGGTAGGAAGTTGTAGTGTGCTTTTAGTTATGCTAGTCTTGTTTTTTGAAGAGCACAGGAAATATCAAATAGTACTGATTTGCTTAGCTATTTTGATTCCACCAGTTTTGACAAAGAGCTAGCACCATAACTATCACCTGCAAGTACCTGATATGGGAAAACAGAAGGAAAAGTTTAGGGACACAAGCAGCAATTATCATTATTACTGAGGCAGTTTTGTGGGGTAAGCGGTGAGGATTAGGAGACTTCATATTGCTAACCACGTGCATTACCTCAGTCAGTTCTGCCCATGCTTGTCCATTCTTTAAGAGGGACAAGATGCCCCGATATTTGAACCTGCAGGCTCTTCACAAAGCTAGCTGCTACAAGGATTCCTGTGCTTCCACAGAGCAATGCATGCAGATACCTGATGAGCTGGATTTGTTTCAATATCACTTCTGCTGTAGTAGCTGAACTCATCCCTGGGGGTTTGGGGCATTCAGAGGTAGTATTACTTGCATTTTTTTTTGCTATTGCCTTTTTTTTACCATATGGTTGTGGGGCTGAAGGCTGAACTAGGTCAGTTCCTTCATGGGTTTCGTTGTACAGCTGCACAAACAGTTGTCTTGGCAAAGAGGCTGCAGGGCAGAGGGATCGGGCACTACTTAAGCTGGTACTGTCATCAGAAAGAATGTGTATTAAATTGTGGTTTTAGGTGAAGTTTCCAAGAGGCTGGTGTCCTGAGCAATGACCTTGATAGTTCTTGGCTGAAAGAGTATGGTGACCTACGGAGCCACTGCCTGCTACAGCTCTCAGTGGGGAAAAAATGTCTTGGTATTACTAGTCTTAAAGAGTACAGATAGCCAACAACAGAGAGTGCAGTCCTTAAGACACGCTGGTGTCAGCTGCTTTCTGTGCAGCCAGCTATAGATTTCCCAACAAAGCCAGTTCAGTTGGGTGGGTCCTGCCTGCATGTGTAAGGTTTCTAATTTCACAGCTTCCCCCCCCCCGCCCCCCTGCTGGCTGAGGGGCCAGGCTGTCCCGTGATGTGGGATTCTCACACATGCTGTTTGTTATTCTGTCCTTTTTCCTTTGGTCCTACAAAGATTTAGAGAAGAGGGTGGGTGAGGGGGAAACTTTGCAAGTCTTTGAAGCAACTTGACTTTCGATGATTAATTGCAGCAAAGAGCCTACACAAGGGAGGGTGACTCGGTTTTAATTTATTGATGTTTCTTTGTGAGAACAAATTTATAGCAGAGGGGAAGCGGCTTCTGAGGAGAATATCAAATGGTTAAAAGGTTCCAAGCATTCTTTGATGTCACAGCCCTGGAGAAATACTGGAAGGTAGTGAGGGACAGACACTGTTTATTTATAAAATAAAGATCAGTTACCTGCTTTTGGCAAGAGCCTCTGACTGGGCTCCTGTTAACAACCTATTCATTAGACTGGCTTGGAGCCGGACCTAAAGTTTCTGCCACGGCTGCCTGCTGAGGCGAGGAGTGCCTGAAGTTTGGATGACGTCTCCAGCCATTAAGTCTTTCCATGCATCTCTCTGAAGCAGCACCTGTTTCTCACATTAGCTGAGACAACACAGCATCACACCGTGCTGTGAAGGGCAGGCTGCTGCTAAAGGAGTAAAGCAGGAAGATGGAAAGCGGTTACAGACTGAGCCGGCCAGAGCAAGCATGTGGCAGCCTCTTGTCAAAAATAGCATCTGACAGCACGGTTGCCTGGGGCTTTGTCGCGCTTGGTAAAGGAGAGGGGAAACAGAAGCAAAATGGCAGAGAAAGAAAAAGTTGAGCCTGCTCTTCCCAGAGTAGACTGAGGATGAGCCACATGTTCACTGTCAGGTCAGGATCTTCTGCTGGCAGGCCACGTGTGCTTCATGAGGCCTCTAGAAATCGAGAAGCTGCAAGGGGAAAGCAGCGAGACAGTCAGCACATCCGCCGGCTCCCTCAGCATCTCCCACGAGGAAGAGGAGTAAGGAGCTTCAGCCCACATCCCTATCCTGTCCCAGAGCGGTCCAGCTCCTCCGTTACATACCAGCTGTGGCAGCACTTTCTCCATGTGCTCAACATCCACTTTCTCCAGGTCCTCCGCCTGGGCCTGCCGTGCTGCTCGTGCTGCGGCCTCTGTGCAAGGAAAGGCCGGTGAGAGGGGCCGCAGACGGTACCTGCGGTCCCGCCGGGGCGCGGGGCTGGTCTTCGGGCAGGAGGACGCGCTCGGGAGCGCGGCGGGACGAGCCGGACGCAGGCTGGGTGCTCGGGGAGGAGACGGGGGTGCCCGGCCGGGGGCTCCCTTC